AATGCTAAAAATGGGACGAGTGATGTGGCCACACCCTAAAATGGGAACATCACAAGCTTCCAATATTGGCCGACCAGCCAGCAACACATTCGACAGTCGGTCTGCACCGATGACAAGGAAAGTGGGCAACAAACACACCAGTCTTGACAAGGACCACATGTTTAAGTCGATGCTTGCAAAGCAAAAAACACTCACTTGGCTTTCCATCATCTAACATCGAGTCACTATTAGCATCAGCCCGAATGTCAGAAACCGCTTTCACGATGTGGATCCTACAAATTCCATGAGAGGAGTTATTTAACAACAAAGATGAACAGATGCAATCACACGCACTTGCGGTGGCCGACCACGAGCGTGACGATCTTCTCACACGTATCATTCCACTTGGGTATTTGAAGGAATGGCCCAATTCGATGCAGTTTGTCCAGACCGTGGACCACATCGGAAGCATTACGATTTATTAGTGAAAATGGACATGACTGCATAATAAAAGACCAGCAAAATGACAAATACTGCAGACATGAAGAATAAATCCAACTAACTCGGACGGATTCGCCTTCAGAAACCAACCATCTTGAAACTAGTGAGCTCCACTAATGTTTGACTCGCAGTCTCCAACACTTTGCAAATTTGGGAAACAGAGGAGGTGGAGTAATCGTTACGACGGAGACACGGGAATATTTTGAGTGAAAAGCGGAAAAGCGTGCTGCGGGGCATGCCAGTTGGACTCGCACCACCTTCCGACCCTCAAGGAGCTGCATGGGGCTTTCTGATGCTTGTGGAGGAAGAACGATATTAATAACCTGATTTTTCTTACCAAAGCATACCATAATTAATAAAGTAATTGTCCATCAGAGCACAAACTTATCTTTCGCTAACCTGTGACGTTCTAGGAAGACAAAGAACGGAGAAAGACGCATTGGACAAATATTGACCACCAAATACTGCCTTGTTAGGTGGTAGTTCACGAACGGTAGAAAACAATCGTCAATTTGTTAATGGACGTGTTAATCCAGAGAGTATTCGAAATAACAGCGTCAGTGACAGCACATGGGTAGGCATATCATAGGCACGAAAAGCACGCGCGCCTCCTTATGAGTTAGCTCAGCAAAAGTATATTTCAAAATTATGCATCCTAAAATTATTACATTAGGAATGTTAAGAAAATTTTTGGAAACATTCTTGCTTGAAATGGTGCTAAGCATTAAAGCTGCTTTTTCTACTACTGCTATATTTGACTGGCTCACAGTAATTTACTAGGTGAAAAGTAGCAGCAGAATATCGAGCCTAGAGACTTAAAGAATTGTTTCTAAAAATATATTTTTAGGCTTTCGTTTTATGCTCCGGTTTTATAGACTTACACTTCAAATCAAAATATTCAAAAATCTGTCCCGCATAACATTTGAACGCTGCACAAATACTGGTTAGGCTACATAGGAAAGCAAGCCTTCTTAAATGCCATATGTAAGGCCTGGTTAAAGTGCAAGAATATCTACTTCATTCACAAAGTATTTTAAGCAACGGCGTTGGCTCAGTTGTAACTGGCCAATGCACCGTGAAGAACATGCATCATTACTGTAGAGTAACATGATTTGGTTCCACATTCTAAAGGGAGTAGCAAATGACTGCACATGTTCTCTGCTCCCTATCTTCGTGCTCGGCTGTCGTCCAGGTCATCTTTCCACCTCGGCCATCACAAATTGACTGGCGCCTAAACAATCGGCCACGATATTTCGATCCACTCCTTTGAATGTTCTTGCCTGTGGAGCGACATTTGGTGCAAACATCACTTCTACATCCCAGTTGAGGTGTAATATCCGCAGTTCCCCACTATTAGTAAACTGCATTGGGGATGGAGAAATGATTGGCTGCAAATATTTCAGATCAGTGCTTGCGGCAAAGTTGCACAAGAACGTCCAACTGCACGGCAGTCATGTTCGGGCGTATTCGATGCAAAGATATGGAAGCGCATTAATGCGCATTATAGGAGAACGTGTCAACGGTGCAATCCACAAAAATTGAATGCATGCGCGACTGACACATCTTGACACATGCAGACAGGATTGTTGTTACCGTAACCAAAGCAGGCGCACGCTGCTTTGTGTGCCAATGACCTGGATTGCAGAGCCATGGCGCATGCGTGGCTTCCATTGTCTCGTCGTTGTTTATGGTGCGTCGGGTGGGGTGGAGAATGGCGAAGATTCAGGGGAGGTGGCAGTTAGTCACATGTTGTCTCCTCCAGTGTTCACAATGCCCTGGTCAAATCACCTCCCGGTGTGAGTAGAGGTGATGTTTTTCCACTAGCCATCAATTGGATTTGCACCTTGTTTGTGGATGAGCCTCTGGTGTTCGACTCATCAGTGATGACAAGCAGGTGTGGCTCCACCCTACTTGGGTGTATCAAATGGCGTCTTCAGAAAGCAGAGTGCGGCGATTGTATTACTCGACTCCACTGTACTTACGCAATCCTCCAAAGCAAATTTGCATCCACGTCTTCTCCTGTTTGCTTATGACACGTCTCATTGAGCTTTTAGCTGTGCCCATCACGTAAGGCGTTGGGCTAATTCAAAGCGCAAAAGTGACGCCTCACCAGTACCGGAGGAAAAACCACTATCGTATTACACTGACGCTTAGAGCAACGCTAATTTGTCAAGCAGCAATTTCTAGCATTGCTATGATTGACTACTTCACTACAATCCACTCATAGAGAAGCAATACTAAAAAGTTGGGTGTGAGCATTTGAGGAACTGTTCCAATAAATACAATTTCTAGACATATCTTTTGTCTAAATTGCAAGGACATTTGCATTTCAAATCATATTATTAAAAAATGTTCCACTCAAAATTTGACCGCAATGCAAATATTAGTTAAGCTACAAAAGAAAGCAAGCCTTTCGTATTAAATGCATTTCAATTGCACTCAAAAGCATGCATCAATTCAATACTGCTACCCATGTCTTTTCAGATATTATATGCAAGGCGAGAAACATTCACCAACACTAGTCGCGATCTTCCACCAAAGTCATCACGCGACTAGACAACACTGAGCCGGTGTTATTCTGCAGCTGTTGCAGCACCGACTTTTATTCAAACCAGATCATTTGCCATGCACCACCAGTGTGACTCCGGTAAATATTAAGTAGCCAAATTTCCTTCGTAAACACTTAGTTGGCCAACATTTTAATGCTGATCGTGGGAATGAAGAGGAGAACAAATTTACGCAAGAAATCATAATGTCGCAAATGACACCACCACTACCATCACAAACATCAGTGTTGAGGAGCACGTGTGGCTCCACCCTAGTTGGGTGTATCAAAAGGCCTCTTTTTAAAAACGGAGTGTGGTAATTGTATTACTTGACTGCACTGTACTTGCTCAATCCTCCAAATAAAATTTCCATTGACGACTTCGCCTGTCTGATTATGGTACGTCTCATTGAGCTTTCAGCTGTGCCAATCACGTAAAGTGTTGAGGCAAGGAGACATAGGCCACGCACATGGAAACGATGTCACC